GCCGCTCATGGCCAGGCTGGCTTCCTCTGACCCTTCTAGTTTGGGGCAGGAGGGGCTTCCTCTGGGAGTGAGCACCGTACCAGGCTGAGATTCATGCAGGAAACAACGGAACAGCACTCAAAACCCACAGTGGCCACAATGGACTCAAGCAATCATGACGACATCACGGAACCCAGCAACGTTTCATTCTGTTGTATATGGGTCACCATGAGTCAGAGCTGAACCGGCAGCAACTAAGAACAACATATTAGAACAAGTATAAAGAAATCTTGGCAATATAAACACCAAGGGGTAGGTTGTCTGGGGAGAGTGAGGTGGTGTGATTGGGGAGGGGTAGCCAGGAGGCCACAACTGTACTAGCAATGTTTTGTCTTTCTGAGAGTTAATTTTTAAAACATCATGGTAAAATATCATTAAAATAAAGTAAAACAGAAAACAAACAAAAAACAGGACCACAGGATAGATCACTGTGTTGGGCCCATCACGGCTGTGTGACCATGGGACAAGTGACCCTACCTCTCTTGAACCTCCGTTTGCTTATCTGCAAATGGGGTTAACACCAGAACCTACCTGTCAGGGCTGCTGTGAACATTCATTGCAGCCCTGTGTCAAGAGCCCTTTAAAAACTAGCAGGCAGAGAACATAGAAAATGCTCAGGAAGGAGGAGCTGTCGTCAGCGTGACCACGCTCTGTCTGTTCCCCTAGTGTAGTGCAGACCTGGGGTCAAACTCCACACCTATTTCCAACAGCTGTGGGATTTTAGACAAAGCCTTCCCTGCTGGGGCCTTAGTCTTGTCTGTCAAATGTGAGTAGTACTCACTCTTCCCCCAAAGGGTGGTCGTGAGTCAGAGCGATGCTGCCTGGGAGGGTGAGAACCAGCCCCTCTCCAGCAGCCCCGGCAAGGATGGACATGATCATTAGTGAGTGCGATGAGCCTAGCATGGTACGTGGCCAACAGCAGATTCAAAGTAAGTGGAAACTGGACTTCTTACATGTATTTTTTAAAGTATGCATTATATACCACTGATACCTGCTTGTCAAGGAATCCTGGTGGTTCAACAGTTAAGC